TTTGCCGCAACACAACCCCCATATTGTTTTGCCTACACAAACAAATAAATAAATAAATCAAATTTAAATTTAAATTTTTTAATAATAAATAAATAAATAATAAAGCATACATGGGACCTCAATAATAAATGGCCCCTGGTCCATGTTCTCTTACTTTCCTAAATCATCTAAATCACAATTCGAACAATAAAAATTGTTTTTTTTTTTTCAAAGTTTTTAACAGTTCCATAAACACAAAGCCACCAAATAGTATCAACCACATGTTGCAGATATTGGAACTTCAAACTTTCAAGAAGCAAACTACCATGGGTTGGCCAAAGCGATCAAAAGAGTCAAAACTATAAACCCAAGTCCTTTAGAGCTTATGAGCTGGTGGGTTTAAATAGTGATGACCACTATTTAAGAGATTGTCTCACGAGTCGGTGAAGCTATACATAATCTAACCTGAACATGAGAAAATAACAAACAAAACAAGACTTTCTAGGAGCAGCAAGCATGCAGGTTGAAAACAATCAGATTGCAGTAGAACATGTTAGCTACTAATCAACACTTCAAATTTATGAAATGTATTTCCTTAATATAAGAAACAAAGATATTAAATAGGGGAAAAAACACCTTGCCTAACAAGGGGATTAAACAAAAATGCCCCTAACAAAGGGATTGTGTGTCCATCATTCATGAGTCCTTCTGTTCCTGCCCTTTCGAGATAAGGGCAGTTATTGTGGAGGGGTACTTGCTTTAAAATCTTTTAGGGCATTTGATTGAACAGAATAACAGGACCTCTAGGAGGTAGAGATATCGAGTGAGGAGGTTTGATGCCTACTGAGGCTTGAAATGTCTTTTTGGGCTTCGGTAGTCAAAGAGGTTTGTAACCATGTGCTAGGTTTTATTCTTTTGGAATGGAATCCTTTTTTGTATGGCTTCTCCTCTTGTTTTCTTTCATATTTCGCAATGAATGTGGAACTCCATATAAAAAAAAGGTGTAACTACAAAAGTATGTGCCTAAAGAACTTCAACTAGTGGTTTTACAAAGCATGTCAACTAGGGAAATGGAATAACCTGGAATTCCATCTTTGAACCCGTTATGAGTTGCAGTTTTGATCTCAAATGGAAATCATACATGCCTATACCAATTTCCCAACTTCAATTTCCCTTTTTCTTTTGGGAGGGAGTAAATAAGTGAATCTACCAAGCCCAGAGGCAAAGATATATATATATATATATATATATATAAACATACATGGCTATACCAATGCATGTATATATGCAGATATAAGCTGTTCAATTAGTGCACACACAATAAAAATTGAAAAAAAAAAAAGAAGAAAAAGAAAAATAAATAAATAAACCTCCTCAACGAATTTTTGGCAATTGTAGATAAAATAACCAATAGCCAAGACCCCAAATTTTTGCTATTAAACATAGATTCACACTTCTTTCTTATATGAACCAAATGCATCATCAAAAATAGGTATATACCTAGGCTAAGGGGCAAGAAGCCGATCCTGAACCAAGGTTATGATTCTAACAAAAAAAGGCACTCCAACGACCATATCTCATTGAATTTATAGAATTGCCTATAAAAGAATCACATACCTGAGACGCACAAGTAACTAGAACACGCTTGAGCAAGGAAGCCGTTGCTTTGTCCTTGCGGTCCATAGCACTGTGAAAATTCGTGTACAAATATTATATTCAAGCACATATGATCCATAAAGCTTCGTAGTGTAATCTAACAAAGCATGATTTCTTTAAGCGATAACAACCCACAATTCAAATTGTGCCCTAGAATCTCAGTCCTCAGAAATCCAGACTTCTTGGGGATACATTTTATAAGAAATTGGTGGGAAATTGACACAATAAAACTTCAAAACAAATTAGGAAAAAGGAAAAAAGACAGCAGATTTACCGAATCGGGCAACACCCATACGCAAGAAATCGCAACGAAGCTGGCGATTCTGTGAGGAGAGATTGATAGGTAGATAGATAAACAGAGACCGCGGGTGTGAAATTGTAGTTGAGAGACTGGGAAAGATCAAATTTTCTTCTGGAATTCCTTCAGGCGGCAGCGTTGTTCCGAGTTTTGAGACGGATAGCCAGTTTACCAGTACCTGCTATTTAACAGAAAAGTTACAGTCAAGGGGTTTGCTTCCTACCGTTTACCTCGCAAATTTGTATAAATTAATATTCCACATTAATTTTGTTAAATAACTTTTTTTTTTTTTTTTAGCTAAATAATTTAATTTTTACACTTTTAGCCCATCATATATTTCTACTTTGTCCTTCAATTTTTAAAATTAACAATTTTGACCCAATCGTTAAAAAATAATTACGGTCCTCCACGTGAATTGACTGATTGGAAATATGATTTAAATTAGTTAAATTAATAAAAATACTTTTGTTTCAAAAATACATTTAAATTTTTAAAATTTCAATAATATTTAAAAAAAAAAAACCTTTTTAACTTTCAAAATAAAACGATTTCATCAAATTGCAATTTCAACCTTAAACTCAATTTTTATTGTTCAAAGAAAAATGAGTTTTTGAAAAAAAAAATAGAATTTTGTTTTTTTTTTAATATTTTTAATTTACTTATAATTTAAAAAACGACAAGATAATTATCAAACGGGGCCTTTGTATATAATTTTGTTTTTCACTCTCAAAGTGTCCAAATTAGGGATGCAAGTCAAAAACACGTCTTAGAATTTTATATTCGCATTTAATAAGACCTTGAACTTTAAAAAATATTAAATAAATCTCGAGTATTTAATCTTGTGCTTAGTAGATTCATGAATTTTAAAATGATAAATAAGTCAATGTCTATTAGATACATCATTGAATCAATTTTGAAAGTTTAAAAACCTACTAAAAATGTTTTAAAGTTCATATCAAACTTGGTAATTTAACCGAATATCAATCATTAACTTGTATACTAATTTGATTTAGCACTAAACTTATATTGGTTTAGTTTGCTCGACCAGTTTTCCAGCGTTACTTAATGACCACAGTGTTATAAATACAGAACTGAACCCATAAATTAGCAGAAATGATCACTTCAACAATGAATATGCTAGTAGTAATGACATTAGAAACAACACATAAAAGAAGCTGTAGATTTAGCAGATAGAAAACTTCTACACAATATTGTAGAACAGTAAAACCTTTCTAAAGACGTTTTGGATTGGATTGTGTTGGTCCAAGCTCACCGCCATCTTTGGGTTTTCTCTGTCGGACTTCCAAGGTTTTAAAACGCGTCTGCTGTAGAGAGGTTTCTACATTCTTAGAAGGAATGTTTCGTTCTCCTCTCCAACCGATGTAAGATCTCACAAATTGGTTGCGTTTATTACTCGTAGATCTCCCTTTCGAGCAACACAGAAAGGTTCATTCTACAATTTGGTCCATTTGAAGTGAAAGGAACTCAAGAAGCTTTCAACGATCTTTGTTTCTTGGCTGTCTATTGGTGTAAACAATTATAACTCTCTTATATCAGCTGGAGATGTTCTTTTGTAATCTCTATTTGATGGGCTCTCCCCTTTGAACATTTCATGTAATCGACCAAATTGTTTCCTTTCAAAAAAAAAAAAAAAAAAAAAAAAAAAAA